GGCTCTCGCGACAGGACGGGCTCTCGCGACAGGACGGGCTCTCGCGACAGGACGGGCTCTCGCGACAGGATGGGCTCTCGCGACAGGACGTCGATGGCCTCACGCACCCCGCGGCCTGAGGAGCGGGAGCGCAGGCGGCTGTCCCCTCGGCTCCTGCTCGGGGTCCCCGCCCCGCTGGGACCTGGCCCCTGCCCCGGGGAGCAGGTGAGACCTGGCCGCTGCCCTGGGGACCAGCATGTGACGCGACGCCGAAGAGCAGGTGTGAGGCCTTGAGGAGACGCCACGTCCACTTCCAAAAGGTTCTTTCTCTTCTTCTTTCTCTGCTAAATCCGGGCGAGGGCGCTTTCCTGGGTGTTTTCATGAGGGACGTTGAATTCGTGACGTTTGTGACCGAGGCGCTCCACCGCGGGCGCCTGCGGGGGGCTGGCCTCCTTCCAGAGCACCTTAGGCGGTCAGGGGACACCCCCTGCCCCCTAGGTACCTGTCCCCTGGTCATACCTGTTGCCCGGGTAACACCTGCCACCACTCCCAGATCACACACTTGTGCCCCCACCCACACCTATTCCCTGGGTTGCACCTGTACAGCCCTCCCTAGTCACACCTGTCCCCGGGTCGCACCTGTACAGCCCTCCCTAGTCACACCTGTCCCCAGGTCGCACCTGTACAGCCCTCCCTAGTCACACCTGTCCCCAGGTCGCACCTGTACAGCCCTCCCTAGTCACACCTGTCCCCAGGTCGCACCTGTACAGCCCTCCCTAGTCACACCTGTCCCCAGGTCGCACCTGTACAGCCCTCCCTAGTCACACCTGTCCCCAGGTCGCACCTGTCCAGCCCTCCCTAGTCACACCTGTCCCCAGGTCACACCTGTCCAGCCCTCCCTAGTCACACCTGTCCCCGGGTCGCACCTGTACAGCCCTCCCTAGTCACACCTGTCCCCAGGTCGCACCTATACAGCCCTCTCTAGTCACACCTGTCCCCAGGTCGCACCTGTCCCCAGGTCACACCTGTCCCCAGGTCGCACCTGTACAGCCCTCCCTAGTCACACCTGTCCCCAGGTCACACCTATACAGCCCTCCCTAGTCACACCTGTCCCCAGGTCGCACCTGTACAGCCCTCCCTAGTCACACCTGTCCCCAGGTCACACCTGTACAGCCCTCCCTAGTCACACCTGTCCCCAGGTCACACCTGTCCAGCCCTCCCTAGTCACACCTGTCCCCGGGTCGCACCTGTCCAGCCCTCCCTAGTCACACCTGTCCCCGGGTCGCACCTGTCCAGCCCTCCCTAGTCACACCTGTCCCCGGGTCGCACCTGTACAGCCTTCCCTAGTCACACCTGTCCCCGGGTCGCACCTGTACAGCCCTCCCTAGTCACACCTGTCCCC